GGCAAAGATATTTACTAGTTTTTTATTAAATCATTAAATTTAATGTTAACTTTTGAATTCTTTTTTTTTAATGATTATAAGCTTTTTACTTTTTGATATATCATTACAAATACAAGTAAAATTTATTTTTTTCAAGGTAGTGCAATTTGTAGTTTATTCGTTTATCAAGATACAGTAGTTGTACAAAAATCTTATATCAAATGCAACTAAACCGATTCTAAAAATTGTTCCCATTCCCTACCATCACCATCATATTCTACATATTCTCTGAAGTAGCTTCGCAACAATATGATATCCCATACTCTGTAGCTTCAAGTTAACTTTTAAAATTAATACGTTTGATTTTTTAATTTATGACTAATAAAAAGATATTATTAATTTTTTTTTTCGTCTTAAAAATAATTTTTATATTTTATATTAAAGAAATAATTTTTTTTTCATCTTAAAAATAATTTTTTTATTCGTTTATTACATTTATTGACGCGTAAATCCGACAAAAATCTTTTATCGCATATAAAGCTTATGTTTGTCATATTTTCTACGTTATTTTACGACGTAATGTATGACAGTATGAACTAAATTTCTTATCAATCAAATTAACCAATTGTAAGCTAAGCTATAACCGATGAATCTTTATTTTTTAAAGAAGCTTAATTCTAGTCTTAGATTTCTAATGTCATATTTTCATTGTTTTAATAATAACCAATATTTGGTATAAAATGACAAATTAATTTAAAAATGTTGTTTGAAAAAAAAACAAAGAAATCCTTTGTACTTACACGGTGCCTTTCAATGATTGGATGTATTATTTACCATATGGGAGCTTATGAAGATCATATTATGAAAGATTGTATATACTTGATTTTTTTAACTCGGTATTTCTTTTTTTGTTTTCCGTTTTTTGTTTATAAGAAGTTTCCTTTATTAAACAAAAACAATAAATTTTTCTTATTCAAATGAATGTTTCTTTGTTCATATATTATAATGTTTAATGTCTATCATCAAAATTTCAGGATGATTTGAAATTCAAGAAAAACATTTGACGAATTTATTCATCATCACATGAAATATATTTTCCAATAATAAATAATATAATATAAAAAAAAGAAAGAAAATTTTTTTCTTTTTAGCCATACGGCCCATACATAGCAACAATGTAACATAAAATTTATATCAATTTTAAAATTTTATTTCCGTTAAGTTCCGTTAAGTTCCGTAATCTCATCTTTTTTTTGCAAGTTTTTTTTTTAACTTGTTTGTTTTAATATTTAATATTTAATATTTATTTATTTATGTCATGTTATGTTATTTGTTACGTTATCTGTTTTTTTGATATGAGCTATAGAATTATTTTTATTAAATGTTATTTATATATTATTGGGTTAAAGTTTTTAATAAAAAGCTTTAGTAAATCTTTGAATTTTTTTTATCACTTTTACTGTGTTTATGATCTTCACCTTAAAAACCTACGCATGGTAATTTTTAAATAACAAGGGAACAATTTTTTATGAAGACTATTCGTAAATCGTAATTTTCAACGAAGATGAAACGTAAAAAAGAATTTTGGAATTTTGAAAATCTGGTTCTTCTTTTGAGTTCATTCCAAAAAATAAAATTATTGTAAATCTAATGAAAGAAAATAATTGTGGTATATTTAGTTTTAGTGTATAAATTTTATATTTAACTGATGTAATGTTTAGTATTACATAGTTCATTTATTTTATTTTATTTATAATTTTTTTTTTATCAAATGTGGGATTATATTTTTATTATTATTTGGTTAGTATAGTGGGAAACTAAAATAGGAAAGTGTGGTAAACATTATTAATTATAAAAAGGAGGCTTATTCGACCAAGTGGGGAGCAATTTGAATTATCCTATTTTACCCATTATTTTATTTTCGATTCTTTTAACCTTTTTCTTATGATGAAAAAGACTAGTAATTATATTATTAGTTTATAGGACGTACTAATAGGGAGAAATTATCGCAATTTGATTTTTGGGATTAGAAAATAGTTTTAGATCAAGCATTGTTATTTGAATTTAATATGATACTAATATTTTATTATTGAATAAAGCATTATTTTGTTAACGCTCAAGATGGCAACATGGGCTTGAACGTTACAACATTAAAATTCACGTGATTTATACCCACAATAGCGTCTCCATACAAATGTACTAATCAAAATTAAGGAAATATACATAATTTTAGTTATTTTACTTATTTAAAATATACGTTTTTATCATATAAACTTTGTATATAGTGCAAATCTTCTTTTTTATCATATGACTTCGATACTATTTTCTTTATTACTTTATTAACGAGTTGGTTAAAGAATTTTATTTCGTATTAAATTTATTCAGCATTATTAATTGGCTTTGTAGCAATAATCAATTGTAATTTATCTATAACTGAAATTAAAAAAAAAATTATAATTTTTTCAGCAGCATTATTAATTTTGGCTAATGAAGGAAGTGTTTTATAAGGAGAATCAAAAGTAATAGAAAAAATTAATCATATTGAAACATAAGCTTGAACAGAATGAGTATTAGGAGGTGGATTGTGCTAGTATTGATATATAATAATGTTTAAAAATATAAATACTGAATGCATACGACACATAATTTAAATTCTAAGAAATCGGCCTTTGCGAAATTTACTGATCTTCGTTCTTGTACAGCGCAGTTGTGATATCTCTGCTCAAATCTAAGCTTTTACCTGTCAAACAAAAGCATATCACCGCCCAACTTCCATACATGTCTTAAAATTTTAGAGTAAAACATGTTGAATTTCTGGTAAATTTGTCTAATATAAAATTGATAATATAAAGTAAATAAATAATTTAAAATGTATTATTTATATTAAAAATTAATGTAATACTATATATAATATTCCCCCAAAAATATGCACTTTTACTAGAAAATTTACATATAATCTTAAAAAAATTTGTAAACTTTTTTAACTGCGACCTAATTTGGACTTATAAAAACTGACATATAGGTCCAGTGACTGGACTTATATTCCTAGTTCCAATCAAAAATACCAAAGTGGCCAATACTGATTTATCATGTACTTTTACTTATGACCTTTATTATAAATATTCGGGTCATATGAAAAATAATTGCCAGTCACGTCACCCTCTGCTTTGGGACTTAAAATTTTTTGGTGTGTGAAATCCTATTTGCCACCAATTATTTGAACTACCCCAGTTGCACCGACAAAAAATTTAATGCAGGGCTGGCGTTACAGCATTATACATGAACACGTGAAAATAAACAGTGACGAATAAGTTTTTAACTACTCGAAAAAAACTAAGTCCCTCAGATAAATAAACAGTGAAACTCGGATGAGGGTGTGACGATGTGATAAATTAAAAATATGTCACGTGATCACTAAATTTGGTCGGTGCGACTGGACTAGTTAATTATTTGCCACATACTTCGCCACCAATATACCACTGTTAATACAATTCCACCCTGTAAAAAATCTGATCCGTGCTTTTATTTTTTCATGTTTTTTCCGTGAATGTATTATTTTAATGGAATTTATAGCCTTAAATCGTGGAAATTTTCATCTCGCTAACACGGATATCCATGAATGTATCATTTTCACAGAATTTTTACGGAAGACACGGAGAAACAATGGAAATATTCGGATAAAAATTTCTATAGGGCCAGCCAAAAGTCACGCGATAGTAGTTTTTTCTGTGGTGATGCTAAGTAACGATCCAATAAAGTTATTGTCACATGATGTTGACGATCTAAAATTGTAAAACAAACTTTATAGTTCAAAGTCGACACATTATAGTACTTATGTTAAAAATGTCACAGTTTTTATTTAAAGTTGCATTCTGGTTTATATTTTAGCCATTTGCCATCATATCCATCAATTTCGCATTGATTATCTATCGACGTATATCGATTACATCAGGAGATTATATGAGGCGTAAAGTTGTCAAATATGTAATCCCTGAAAATTTATACTCCATAAAAATCTATAAATATACAATTTTGCATAATTTACACTTAAAAAATGGTTATTTGATAAGGCGTACTTAAAAAGTTTCATAAAAGTTTCATAAATTCTACGCAAGTAGGTAGTTTCAGCAATCTACGCTTTAGAAATTTGCATAAATACATGATTTTGCATGACTCACACATGAAAATGTGGCTTAATAAATTTGTATCTAAAAAAATTGTGTAAAATTTACATAAATTGGTAGCTTCAGTATTATACACTTTAAAAATTCGATAAATACATGAATTTAAATAAACTGCGCATCAAATTACAGGCTAAAATATTTTAAAAAGTTTGTATCTGAAAAAAGTTGAGTAAAATTTACACAATAATATTTTCATGCCTAAAAATTTTATACAAATTGGTATTTTATAATCTACAAAAAAAAAATTATATAAATGCATTTTATTCTAAGATAAATAATATGAAATAATACTAATTAAAAAAGAACAAATAGTGTAGTGGTCGACTTAATATATTGATAGTTTATCTTGAGGTATTCAGTTCGATTCTTAGTGTAAGTAAAAAAAAAAAATAATAATAAAATGTGGAAAAATATCGGGAAAATATATAGGAAAAAATTAAGAGGATAATTTGATAATCTTAATTACATTATTTTTTACTATTAAAAAACTACGTCGTTTTTAAAAATACACTATTTTATACTATTGAAATTTCTCTAAATTTTTCACACTCGTATATCATCGCGAGTGGTGTAGATTTGCGTAGTTTTTTCACACGTGTATTATTTTGTAGATCTACGCTTATTTTATCCTCCTGGTGTACAGACTACAGACTTGCCGTTTATGAATCATGAAATGCATGCAAAGAAATTTGCAGTACAACATACAAATGCCTTAATCATATTTATTTATATACTCAATAAAGAATACGTGTTACTAATAAAAAAAAAATTCGCCAATTTGCATATCTTCTTTCTTATCGTTATTTTTTTTTTTGTTCGTTATCAAATATATAATCAATGGAGGAAAAAAATGACAAAGATATAAAAAAATATTTGAAAGATAATTATATCTTAAGGAAAGTTGTATTTGAATGGATACCATATAATCAGTTTAACGTCATTAAAAAAATAGGAAATGGAGTCGCTACAGCAATATGGAAGGATGGCCCATTATATTATAATGTATGTTTAAAAAGATATAAAAGGGATTCAAATAAAAAAGTTGCTTTAAAATTTATTAATAACTCACAAGATGTTTCTAATGAGTTTTTAAACAAGGTATGAGGCTTGTATTTTTTTAACTTTTACTCATTAAATTTAATTATTTTTTTTAAAAAGTATTTTATGTTTTAATAGGTAAATTTATATTTAACAACATCAGGGAGTAGTCCTTTTAAACTTTTAGCAAATAATATCGAATATGGAATGTCTCAAAATCCAAATACAGAAGATTACATTTTGGTTTTAAACGAAAAATATTTTGAAAAATATTGTGATAAATGTGGTGAAGAATATACAAATAAACACTATAAATGGTGTAAACCATGCCAAATTGATTTTTTGAAAAGTAATTTTACTGACTGGATTAGTAGAATTGAACAAATTGAAGTTTTTATTGCTTTTATTAAAAAAGAGCAATTTAAATGGATACCATATGATCAGTTAAGTTATATTAAAGAAATAGAAAATATTGGTGCTACAGCAATATTGAATTGGAAAAGTGATGATACAGATGGTTCATTTAAAGCATATGACTCAAATATGTACTTGCAAAGAAGATTAAATGAAAAAGTCGCCTTAAAATATTTATATAATTTACAATATATTTCTGATATGTTTTTAGATAAGGTATGAATTTTATTTGTAAATTCAAATTCAAATTCAAATATTCATATTAAAATATAAAATATATTATATTATTATAGGCTAATGGATTAAAAAATATTACTAGTTATGGAATAACTCAAAACCCAAATACAAAAGATTATGTTTTGGTTTTTCATAAAGAATATTTTGAGAAATATTGTATAAAATGTGGTGAAAAATATAAAGCTGAAATAGATGGAATATATAAATGGTGTAATCCATGTCAGATTGGTTTTTTGGAAAGTAATTTTACAAATTGGACCAGTGGAAATAAGCAAATTGATTATTTTATTCAAAGAAAGCAATCACTAATTAAAAACCCATGGGATACAATATTTGAATGGATACCATACAATCAGTTTAATGCCATAAAAAAAATAGAAAATAGAATTGCTACAGCAATATGGAAGGATGGTCCATTAGAAAGTAATATAGACTTAAAAAAATATAGAAGGAATTCAAATAAAAATGTTGTTTTAAAATCTTTTAATAATTCACAAAATGTTTCTGATGAATTTTTAAACAAAGTAAATAGATTTTTTTATAATTTTTTATTAGGGAGTAGTTCTTTTAAACTAGCACATAATATTGGACATGGAATGTCCCAAAATCCATATACAAAAGATTATATTTTAGTTTTTAATGAAGATTATCTTGAAAAATATCATAAAGAATATTGTAAAAAATGTGGCGAAACATATACAGTTGAAATATACAAATGGTGTAAATCATGTCAAATTGATTTTTTGAAAAATAATTTTATAAATTGGACCAGTGGAAATAAACAAATTGATGATTTTATTAAAAAAAAACAGTTGCAAATTAAAAGATCGTGGAATATAATATTTGAATGGATACCATATAATCAGTTTACTGGCATTAAAGAAATAGAAAATATTGGTGCTATAGCAATATGGAAGAGTGGTCCATTATGTTATAACTCAAATTCAAATATGTATGAAAGAAATTTGGTAAATGAAAATGTTACTTTAAAATATTTGCATAATGAAATACCAGATATCCCTAATGAATTTTTAGACAAGGTATGAAGTTTATTTATAAACTTGAATTTAAAATATCTTTATTAATATAATATTTATATTATAATATCCTTATAGATCAAATCAAAAGGTATTATCAGTTATGGAATGTCTCAAAATCCAGATACAAAAGATTATATTTTAGTTTCTAATGAAAAATACTTTGAAAAGTATTATAAAACATATTGTAAAAAATGTGGCGAAAAATATGCAGTTGAAATATATAAATGGTGTAAATCATGTCATGTTTATTATTTGAAAAGTAATTCTACAGATTGGACGAGTAAAATTAAACAAATTGAAACTTTTATTGCTTTGATTCAAGAAAAGCAATTTAAATGGATACCATATAATCAGTTAGGTTATATTAAAGAAATAGAAAATATTGGTACTACAGCAACATGGATGAATGGAAATGATTTATTTGAATCATATGAAAGAGTTGTTGCTTTAAAATATTTACATAATTTACAATATATTTCTGATGAATTTTTGAGTAGGGTACGAATTAATTAAATTTAAGTTCTATGAACATTTCCTTTTATATTATATACTAATAAAGATGATATATATTATAACATTATAGGTTAAATCAGAAGATATTTGTTTAGGAATTTCTCAAAGTCCAGATACAAAAAATTTTATTTTTGTATTTTATGAAAAATATTTTGAAAATTATTGTGATAGTTGTTGTAATAAATATACTAATGAAAATTATAAATGGTGTAAGTCATGTCAAATTAATTATTTGAAAAGTAAATTTACAAACTGGACCAGTGGAGATAAGAAAATTGATGAATTCATTCAAAAAAAGCAATTGCAAATTAATAGCCCACAGGATTTAATGTTTGAATGGATACCATACAATCAGTTTAGTAACATTAAAAAAAGAAAAAATGGATTTGCTACAGTAGTATGGAAAGATGGACCATTAAAGTTTGATGAATGCTCAAAGAAATATGAGAGAAATTTAAATAGAAACGTTGCTTTAAAATATTTGTATGGCTCCCAAAATATTACCGATGAATTTTTAATCAAAGTATGTTAAAAGTTGATAAGTTTAATTTTTAATTATTCTTTTATGTATATTAATGTTGTATAATCACTACTGTAATAGGTGAAATCGTATTTAATGGAAGATATTAGTTATGGAATATCTCAAAATTCAGATACAAAAGATTATATTTTGGTTTTTAATGAAAAATATCTTGAAACATGTTGTAAAAACTGTGGTGAGAATTATACAGCTAAAATATACAAATGGTGTAAACCATGTCAAATTGATTACTTGAAAAGTAATTTTGTAGATTGGACTAGTAAAATTAAACAAATTGAAGCTTTTATTTATATTCTTCAAGAAGATCAATTCGAATGGATACCATATGATCAGTTTAGTGATATTAAAGAAATAGGGAATATTGGTGCCACAGCAATATGGAAGAATAGGCCATTAACATATGGCTTCTTAATAGGTCAACAAAGATCAGTTGCTTTAAGATATTTGTATAATTTGCAATATATATCTGATGAGTTTTTAAGTATGGTATGAAGTTATTTATGAATTTAAGTTATATAATCATTTCATTTTATACTATACTATACTAATAAATGAAATATATATTATATTATAGATTAAATCAAAAGATATTACCAGTTATGGAATGTCTCAAAATCCAGAAACAAAAGATTATATTTTGATTTTTCATGAAGATTATCTTGAAAAATTTTGTAAAGATTGTGGCGAGAATTATTTAGATGAAATAAATAAATGGTGTAAATCATGTAAAATTGATTTTTTGAAAAGTAATTTTATAAGTTGGACTAGCGAAAATAAACAAATTGATGATTTTATTCAAAAAGAGCAATTTCGAATTGAAAAACCATGGGATATAATATTTGAATGGATACCATACAATCAATTTACTGATATTAAAGAAATAGAAAATATTGGTGCTATAGCAACATGGAAGAATGGTCCGAAATATTATAATTCAAATTTAAATAAATATGAAAGATATTTAATAAATGTTACTTTAAAATATCCATATTATAATATACTAGATATTCTTGATGAATTTTTAGACAAGGTATGAACTTTATTTATAATTTGAATTTAAAACATTTTTATTAATATAATAAATATATATTATATATATAGATGAAATCAAAAGATATTATCAGGTATGGAATGTCTCAACATCCAGATACAAAGGATTATATTTTAGTTTTTCATGAAAAATATCTTGAAAAATTTTGTAAGGGCTGCGGTAAGAATTATTCAGATGAAATAAATAAATGGTGTAAATCATGTCAAATTGATTTTTTGAAAAGTAATTTTACAAGTTGGACCAGTAGAAATAAGCAAATTGATAATTTTATTCAAAAAGAGCAACTGCAAATTGAAAACCCATGGAATATAATATTTGAATGGATACCATACAATCAGTTTACTGGCATTCAAGAAATAGAAAATATTGGTGCTATAGCAATATGGAAAAATGGTCCATTATATTATAATTCAAATTCAAATAAATTTGAAAGAAATTTAATGAATGAAAATGTTATTTTAAAATATTTATATAATACTATACTAGTAAATATCCTTGATGAATTTTTAGACAAGGTATGAAGTATAATTTGAATTTAAAATATTTTTATTGATTGCATTATTAATCACTTGTTTAAAGTATTAATACAATAATATTATAATATTATAGATTAAATCAAAAGATATTATCGGTTATGGAATGTCTCAAAATCCGGATACAAAGGATTATGTTTTGGTTTTTCATGAAAAATATCTTGAAAAATTTTGTAAGTATTGTGGAGAGAATTATTCAGATGAAACACATAAATGGTGTAAACCATGTCAAATTGGTTTTTTGAAAAATAATTTTACAAATTGGACTAGTGGAAATAAGCAAATTGATGATTTTATTCAAAAAGAGCAATTACAAATTAATAACCTATGGAATGTAATATTTGAATGGATACCATACAATCATTTTACTGGAATTAAAGAAATAAAAAATATTGGTGCTATAGCAATATGGAATGATGGTCTATTAAAATATAATTCAAAATCAAATAAATATGAAAGAAATTCAGTAAATGAGAATGTTACTTTAAAATATTTACATAATATACCAGGTATCCTTGATGGATTTTTAGACAAGGTATGAAGTTTCTTTATAATTTGAATTTAAATTTTTTATTAATATGATATATATTATAATGTTATAGATTAAATTAAAAGATACTCTCAGTTATGGAATGTCTCAAAATCCAGATACAAAAGATTATATTTTAATTTCTCATAAGGAATATTTTGAAAAATATTGTGAAAATTGTGATGAAAAATATACAGATGAAATATGTAAATGGTGTAAATTATGCCAAATTGATTGTTTAAAAAGTAATTTTACAATTTGGACCAGTGGAGATAAGCAAATTGATTGTTTTATTCAAGAAAAGCGATTACAAATTGATAGTCCATTAGATATAGTATTTGAATGGATATCATACAATCAATTTAGTGAAATTATTGAAAGAGAAAATGGGTTTGCTGCAGCATTATGGAAGGATGGTCCATTGAAATTTGATAAATGTTCAAAGAAATATGTAAGGAATTCAAACAGAAATATTGCTTTAAAATACCTATATGGCTTTCAATATATTACCGATGAATTTTTAAACAAGGTATATAAATGTTTTCAAATTTAATTTGCTTATTAAATATATTAACGTTGTGGTATAATTACTATAATAGGTGAACTCATATTTAATGGAAGATATTAGTTATGGAATATCTCAAAATTCAGATACAAAAGATTATATTTTGGTTTTTCATGAAAAAATGTTTGAAAATTCTTTTGTATATTTAGATGAATTAGAAAATTGTTTGGAAGAACATTTCAAAAAATGCTGTGTAAAATGTGGCAAAGAACATACAAATGAAGTATATAAATGGTGTAAATCATGTATAATAAATTGTAAGAATTTAAGAATCATTGGTATAATTAAAAATAGTTCTAAAATTAAGTGGATATCATATAATCAATTCAGTGATATCAAAGAAATAGGAAAAGGTGGTTTTGCTACAGTATATTCAGCGATATGGAATAATAGGAAAGTTGCTTTAAAATGTTTACATAATTCTCAAAATTTCATTTATGAATTTTTAAATGAGGTATGAATATAAATATATTATATAATCTGATTATTTTAAATGTGATAATTTACGTATACTACTTATTTAATAGGTCGAAGCTTATTTAGCATATACAAATCAGAAATTTAGTAATATTCTTAAAATATATGGAATATCTCAAAATTCAGATACAGAAGAATTTATTATAGTTCTTGAATATGCAGAAGGTGGAAACTTTAATGATTATTTATATAGAAATTACAAAACTTTTAATTGGTCAAATAAAATACAAATATTAATGAATATTATTAGAGGTCTTAAAGAAATTCATCAAAAACAGATGGTCCATTGTGACTTTCACACGAAGAATATATTGTTTAAGCATATAGAATATATCAATATATGTATTTCTGATATGGGATTATGTAGAGAAGTTGGTAATATTGATGAAACAAAAATTTATGGAGTTATGCCTTATGTAGCTCCTGAAGTATTAAGAGGAAAACCTTATACTCAAGCAGCAGATATATATAGTTTTGGAATGATTATGTATTTCATAGCAATTGGAAGACAACCTTTTGCTGATCGTGCGCACGATAAACTTTTAGCTTTAGATATTTGTAATGAAATTAGACCTGAAATAAATGAACAAAGAGCACCAAATTGCTATATTGACTTAATGAAAAAGTGTTGGGATTCAAATCCAAATAATAGACCAAATGCTGTTAAGATAGAAGAGTTTATTTGGTTATTTCATTATTCACTTACATTAAGCGCATCAGAGTTTAAATTTTTTATGAAAATTGAAAAAGAACAACAGCATTATGAGATTGAAAAACAATTTAAAGAAGCAGAAGAATATAGTAAAGATAATCCCCTATTTATTAAAGATATCCAATCAACCACACATCCACAAGCTATTTATACATCTCGATTACTTAATCACTTTACAAAAGATCTTCTTTCAGAGTGTTTAGATTGCGAAATCTAATGACTCATAAAGCTAGGTTAAATAATTTTTATACATAGTTTATTAAAAGTTATTGATATTAACGTACACGGTATTGATTACGCACAAATATTGGCCGAACCTACGTAGAGGAGCAATGTAAGAAAATATACTTGTACCTGGTATAGTTTGTAATTTTGATTGTTATGTGTCTATTAGGACTAGAACTAAGGATTTTATTTAGTTCGTCTTTTATTTTTTTTTTAAAATTTAAATTAAAATTTATTTGGAAATATTTCTTTTTGATTTCGTATATTATTTATTATGTTATATTTATTATTTACTATACCATCTTATTTTAGTAAATGGTATTTTATTTCTTATTTTAAATTTGAAGTTATAGCAGTTATATTCTTCGCAATAAATAGTTTGTTCAACACCAATTATAGAGTAGTATGTAATTTTACATAATAAATTGGTCTGTAATTGAACAGGATTTTAAATATATATAGTACAATATATTATGCTTCATATGTATAGTGTATAAAGTTAATATATTAACTCTGTTGTAACAAAACTCAATAGTTAAAAAAAGAACTTTCAACTTAGGTATTATGTTTTTAGCAATTACATCACAGATATTAACCAGCGTTAAGAAACGGCGGTGGCTTGTAGTATAGCTATTTTTGAAACATCTGGTGCCTTGGAAATGGCACTAGCCGAGTACGTGATAGAACTTTCTTTTAAACGTCTAGAGACTCTGCAGGATTAAATCTAAAGGTAAATATATCAAAGTTTTTTAAAGTTGAATACAAATGAAGTACATTCTTAATGATAAATTGATAATCATTAATATATAAATATTATCCCAATAATTCTGATTTTACAAGGCTGTATTTACAAATCTGTTATCCGATAGTTTAATCAAAAAAAAAATATTTTTTTTTTACCTCGTTATTATTTTTATTTTTATTTACGTTACATCGAATAAAAATTCTACACAAGGAAAACTTTTTTGGAAATCTCAAGAATTTTAGAATTTCGTTATTTTAATTAAACTTTAATTACCATTTCAAATTACGTGAGGTTTATCGCCGTTTTCGAATTACTGTGATCAGGTGATGTCGATCATTTATAATTAAAAAATACTGAAAACACTGAAAATAACCGAAAACAACCTAAAAATAAGCCAAAACACATGCAAATATTCCTTGTAAAATTTTCTAAATAATTATTGGTCAATTTTTTATAAAACTGGTCATTTACTTAATATAGTAATTAGTAA